TTTTTTTTTTTTTTTTCGTATATGCAGTTTCTGACCCAGTTCTATTCATCCAAAATTCCCAAATGTGTCTATTCGCTTCACCTCACCTACTAACAACTTGATGCTCGAACGTAATTTCACTTCTTATGCCGTTTGGTAACACCGCTCTCCAAATGACGTAGTGACCACCTCCTGTACAGCCAATTTCTGTCAAATGTTCACCTCTTTTTCTCCTACCAGTAATTTTGCTAATTTAGTAACGTCTTGTTTAGCTGTTTTCATAGAGCATATCTTTTTTAAAAAATGGACGATAACACCTGATCAAAGACAAGTGAAAAAAAACTTTCAAATTCACTTGAGAATTAATATAATCATAGATATAAAAGATCTCTTCAAGAATTTTTTAGATGCGGAGCTCAACATGCAACTCACGAATGAACGCGACCAAAAAGAATTTCAAGCTGTCTAGCTGAAAAATGTAGATTTTTTGAATTCCAGACTGTAATAGAATATCCTTGAACCAACGGTATCGTGATTCTCCTTGTCCCGCCTATAGACTTAACTTTGGAGAGAAACAAAATCTATCGCCAATATCGTTCCTCACTTCTTAAAACTTATACATGCTCATGCTCAGGATAGAAGTGACGGTATAAGAATCAAAAAGGAACTTCAGCATTACACTCTTATGAACTGAATGAGAAGTAAACAGAGCAGTTTGAAACTGTCACAATCGAATAGAACACGAACAAGTACCTAGAATACAAAGTTGGAAGCGTACAATATTCCTCAAATATCTTTAGATACACCAGCAAATTCAATTTTATCATAATTTAATTTTTATTTTTGAGCCTCCCATGGCCTTCTTTAACGTTTCACGGCTCCACAGAAACTTCTGGTCAAACTGATTACAACAAACGGAAGACAGCAACCAGTAATCAAAAACCGAATCTCTAGGCAAGAGTAGAGCTAATTTTGCCACTTTGGTCGAAAATCGATTTATCAATTTATTTGAGGCAATTCCTCTTTTTTTTTTCAAAAAAAAACAGCTCCCAGAACAATGTACCTTACAAAAAAAATAAAGAATGAAGAACGAAAAAGAATTTACCTAGCAAATAAAGACTTAATAAGCTAACCAACATCTAACTCCTCGAAAACATAAGGTGATGAGCAAGAGCCCCTCAATAACAAAAGTGCAACAATACAACTATCATAGTCCTAAGCAAGCCTGCTCCCTTCAAAAACGAAGACGTAATTTTTTAAATGAAGCACTTCTTTTAAATCGCAAAAAATTTCAAGCGAACTATAAGCATAGATGCGGTCCGTCAGGCAAGATACCTCTTGAAAAGAAACTAGATAATAAAGAGACTGCAAGTTTGAGATCACTAATTTGCTACGAAAAAAAAGGCACCAAAAAAGTGATACTGAGGCAATCCGTACACTACAATACTGTCTACACAAAGATCCTGCAATGGTAACAGATGAAGCGTTGATACAAAAGCTGTTTGATAAACCAAAAAGTTGTAAGGATTTTGGGGACGACCACAAACAAAAATACGCACTCTTAAGCACAGCACCTATATATATATATATATATATATATATATATATATATATACCACTTCATGCTAAATCACTCCCTTTTTTCTTTCATATCTCAGATTGCTTTTAAATTTTGTTGATTAGTAAAGTCTGTGCTGATAAACAGAAAGCCAAAAAAAAAAAAAGCTTGTTACACCCTCTTAAAGTTTTAAAATTCGCCAGGTTGCCGCCCGACATACCTTTGCAGACTTTTAAGTTAGCCCGTCCTTAATAAATTTTCAGTTTTTAATTTATTTGATTTTTCATGTTCTGAATTTGTAAATACATATTAAACTTTTTAATTTAAAAAAAACCACACAGACGTAGTAAAAGCAATATTCCAAACAAACATAGGAAAGGAAACGCGCCTTTAAATTTTTTAGAAAAGACATTTTTGCATAGAATTTTTGGCTCTACATCATATCAAATTTTGGTGATGGCGATTTTTTGGTATTGAAGTTACAAGCCAAAAAACCATGTGAAGCTGGAGAAAACTTGTTTTTTTTTTTTTCACAGTAATCTCACGTATTTCACATGACGAAACCGCCCTGAGCCACTTCTGAAAGCCGCAAACAAACGCTATGAAAATTCGGTATGCTTTAAACGTTGGAAAATTGTCACAAAAGTTGCATTTTACTTCAAAATATTAACAAACTGTTATCCTGTAAGGTTGTAAAAAATAGTTTCCGTTCTAATGTTTTCTGCTTCTTGTACTTCGTAATTTTTAGACACCTAGAATTCTGTCCATAGCGTACTTGTTGAAGTTTGGGTTGCACAAGTCTAACTTGCTGTTCTTTCCTTGACATTATTCGCTGTGGTTCCTCAGAAAAATATAAAGTTGAAGAAAAATCTTAATCTAGCAGTCAACCAGGTGAGGACGTAGGTTCTTTGTGACTCCAAAATGTAAACGAGCTGCATAATTTTGACAGAATAAAACACAAGAGACAGAAAGCACTAAAATGGAAGCTACTTCTTGAAACTCTGCAGAACAAGAATTTGCTAATATTATTAAACGCTTATGGCATACTAAATCCCTACAGCCACTTTCTGTAGCTCTTAAAAGCGGCTCAAGACGGTTTCTTCATGTAAAATACATCGAATTACCGTAAAAACAGCAGGCTTTTTTCAGTTTTATGGTCCTTTCCGGCTCGTAACTCTCGGCACCAAAAAAACAATACCACCACACCCTGATATTCTGGAGAGCAAAAAATCCTGCCAAAAAAAATATCTTCAAAAAATTTAAAGATACGTTGTTTTTATAATTGCTTGAAATCTTGTCTGTTTGCAATTTTTAGCAGAAT